TGCATCCAAGTAGTAACATGAAAATCTGACTCCCCCAGTCAAGATTTCATAACGAAAATCTGACTCCCCCCATGAAATTTTGAATCCCCTTCACAAACCTTTATAAATCTTATTTTATTTGGATATGTAACTTTTATCTTGAAGTATGCATAATGGAGGATACATTGGCACTTTTTAAATTTTTTCATGAGGAAATAAGAATATTAAAATATTTTTCACCCAATGACTCCTATGAAAAGGCTATGGGAGTCCAAATCCTACAGTTAGTAAGATGAATGCTTGTTTCAAATATTATCAAGTTTCACCAAAATTTTCACAACCAAACTTTTAAATACTAACAAAATACACGTCACAATGCAAACCTTTTAAAGAACAATGGTACAGTGACTTAATATAAAATAGTGCCTTTTCTTCATAAGAGTCCGAAATCCCATGGTTATGAATATAAAGATTTTTCATGATTATTTTTTTCATTTTTTGCACCCAATATTTTACCACCAAACTTGCAAGCATTTCCAATATATTCTTCATAAAGTATACTAAAGGGACAAGTGTTGAAATGATCATGTAAATATCAAATAAAAAGCTTTTTCATAGGGGAGTCATTGGGTGATAAAATACACTTTAAATTCTCTTATTTTCTCATTTCACCTGCAAACTAACAGAAAGTGCAAATGTATTATCCATTATGCATACCACAATATAAAAGACATATACTCAAAAAAAAAGATATATATATATATATATATATATATATATATATATATATATATATATATATATATATATATATTTTTTTTTTTTTTTTTTTTTTTTTTTAGGGGGGGGAGTCAAAGTTTCATGGGGGGAGTCAGATTTTCATTATGAAAATTTGACTGGGGATTCACATTTTGGGGGAGTCAGATTATCATGGTACACCGGAAAGGTAACTTAAGGAATTATTATAGAATGTATTATATCTTTTGAGACCATGATCACCCATTTATGTATTCAGCATGGCAATGCTACTGCACGTACAGCCAATTGACAGTAGGCTGGTTATATGCCAACCATATCTAAATCTCCCCC